ACAGGGACGGAGCAGAACCACGGTTGAGCCCGTCGGCTTTGGCATTGAGAAACTCGGAACATGCTCGATGATCGCTTCAGTGCGGAAGCACGTCTGAAGACGGAAGAACAGGGCGAAAGCCACACAACGACTTTTGGCCATCGAGAGACCCAGCAGCTGTCTCAGAAGCAGCGTTGTCGCACTGGAGTTTACGTAACATAGACGAAGCCGCAGCAAGCCGTGAGCATGACCGACATTGACCGACAACAAGTAGACCAGAGCGCATTGCGCAGATCTGGGGCTGGCCCAAGATGTGGCTTCCCTTGATGGGCAGGAATATTCAGCGGCACGAGCCGCCCAAATGAATTTGTGCTGCGGAACCATGCAGGTGAGGGGCAAGTCGCTAGCTGTTAGAGGGGGCGCTTGAAAAAAAAAACAGTCACTGTCCCGACTCCGCTTGCATTTTCTGCTCGCGAAGTTCCGGAGTCCACCTCCAGCAAGCCTATACGTCCCCAAAGTTCACTTATGCTGCGGGTTCACGGTTTCGGGTTTACGGGTCGGCTGCCTTCCCGCTGTCCGGCGTCTTTTTCCTCGACCCTTGGTTGCTTTCTGCATATCTGCAACCTGGCCATGCGGACTGAACACTCCGAAGTGCGCCGCTTGGACCGCCGACGCGCACGTCCCGTGGCTTGGGTCGGCCCGGTTGCCGAGGCGGAGCGTGCAATTACTGTTGCTGTTGGAAGCAGAATGCAACTGATCTCATGTCAATCCAGCTCTTGTATGCAACATTGCTGAATATTGCTGAAGAAGACTTGAATTCAGAATCAGAAGCATTATTGTGATGTGACTGGCAATGCGAAAAACCCCATCATCTGCAACTGAGACGTGTGCTTTGGCTTTTCGTCGCGCTCCTGCTCCTCTTCCTTTTTCAACCTAAGGCTACGATTAGCAACGCAACAACAACGACAAGAAATACCAAGCATGCTGCATCCGATCAAGAGGTGCAAAGCAATGGAATGCTTGTACTGGCAAGATGGCAGACAGCACCAACTCGTTTCATACAGTCAGGTGTCTCTTTCTGTCTCTGCTGGAACCTGCAATTGCAAGTCACGCAGCGTGTAAATGTAGCATTGCAAAGCTCTGGCAGTACTAACTACATGGACTTCGCCTGGCGACGATGCCTCGCACAGGCCTCCAGCCGGGCACAAGAATCGGAAGCGCCGCCAGATGCAGCACAATCAATTGGTCCAACAGCACGGAAGGTCGGACACTGAGACGCTTGCGGGGTGCTGTCATCACGTTTGTCAACAAGGCAGACACACACACACACACACACAGATGGACACAGACACACAGACACACAGACACACAGACACACAGACACACAGACACACAGACACACAGACACACAGACACACAGACACACAGACACACGCGCACACAGTCGCACGCACACACACACACACACACCCACACCCACACCCACACGCACACGCACACGCACACGCACACGCACACGCACACGCGCGCGCGCGCGCCCACACTTGTGCATATCTCCACGCCCAGTTCCACATTGGTTTCAGGCTCAAGTTCTCACGCTAGTTGTCACCCCCCCCCCCCCTTGCCCCGAAGCCATGCCATGCCTTAAATGGACATAAGGAATGTTCTGGTAGCCTCTCATTTGCTCCTCGTCTCGTTTTCAGATCACGGAAGAACTCGGGACATGCTAGGGACCATCTAAACGCGCCCTCAAGAACCTTCAGGCACTTCTCAGGGGAGAAGGGGTGTCGCGGACCGGCCACAACTTTTGCTGGAACCCTTCAGGGACCTGTAGTCGAGTCGAGTCGTTACAGGGACTCGGGAACCTCAAGGAACACTCGAAGCCCTCGAATACATGGGATCCTCAATGATCCTCATGAGAACCTTGCAGGAACTTAGGTGAGTTTGAGAGAAACTTAAGGACCCCCCAAAACAACCGGATTAGCCCAAAGCACCTGCTGGTTGAGCCATGAAGACGTGCTGATAAAAGTTCAAAACTCTAAGTGCAGAATCTAACTGTAGCCAAAACACTGTTTTTCCCTACAATTGCTGAGACAACTTTCAGCCTATGAGCAATTCTAGATAAATCTAGCCCAGCAACAGCCTACTTGAAACAGGATTCCAACCCGAGCCGAGCTTGTCTTAAGCTTCACGTAAGTAACCTCGTGGAACTGGGGTGGTGATGGGGAGGTGGTAAGGGGGTGAGTCGTCGGGGGGTCAGTTTCCCCCTCGATGTGGCTCCAAGCAGTTAACATGGAAACGTCTTTCTTAGGGTGCGCGCCAGTCGACTCGGTACTGGAGTCGGACCATTCCATTAATCATGAAGTCTAGTGAAGAAAACCTGCCTGGGTGAGTGTGTCGCAACGTGATGCTCGAAAGTATCACTCCCGGTCATTTTCTTTCAACAGATGCTCCAGGCGGGCGCGTGTCTGCTTTGTCCAGTGAGTGTTATAATCTTGTGCGCGCAATGGATGGTGACCTCGGACGTCTGATCCAGAGGCAGTTAGCAGGCAAGATATGGCAAGATCATGTCGACGGTAATTGCCTAAGGGCGAAGCAACAGTGTAACAGTTTCCCCCAATATCATCGAGGCCAGGTCAGGGTTTCTGTATCATGTGGGTGTTGAAGCTGCGGCTTCAAGGTGCTGCCATGTGCTGTCTTCGCAAATCAATCCGTCTCCGCCTTGATGTTGCAATGTTTGATCAAACGTTAGGAAGAAACTGGGCAGAGAGCAGCGACTCTGCAGCCTTTCCGCATGTTCCACTTCCCCAGCCGGCGCCTTGCAATCGTGGCTTTAATCTCTCTGGGGCTCCTGCATCGCTGAGGCCGCTGACTCAAAGCTCCAATCTGAGCCCAGACACAGCCTGCAGCACGGGTCTTCCTATTGAGGTGTATTGTGGCCTCATGGCTCTCATGCATGCGGATGCATGGGGCACTGCGGAATCTCGTGTAATCATCCTAACTGAGGATGCGACACGTCGCTTGCAGAAACGCTGCAAGGACCGGCACAAGTGTGGAGTAGACATGGCCCATATGTAGGATGCAGCCATTTCCCTAAGATTGAATAAGCTTTGTTCTTGTGCTGTGAACTTGTGGCACAGAAACTGATTACATACTGCCGCCACCTGTTGCTCTGACCCTCTGGCTCCACTTCATCTGTTTTGCCGGCATCTACAAGGACCGAAAAAGTTGCAAAGCAGGCATGCCAGTCGGGAGTCAGAAGCAACCTGAGGCTAGAGGTCAACTTCAACAACTTGGCTTTAACGCTGGAAAAAAAGATTTTTGGATGGCCTCGGCTCATGAGACTCGAGAAAGTTCAGTACATTTCAGCAGTCTTGAGCACCAAAGAAACAGCGGGCGTTTGCAAGTGAATCCATGCCCCAGGCCCTCTGATCGCAGGTCCGCTGTGATTCAGATTTCCTGTCTGAAGCTGGGCCGAGTGCTCTTGGCAATTACACTTGACAGGTCATGAGGCAAGAGACGTGAAGGCCCACGCTGCGGAGGCTTCGGGCCTAAACCGTTCCCTTTCATTGCTCGTAGCATGCCGTCCAGGTCCTGGTACTGGGGGCACAAAGCCGAGCGAACGCGAGCTTAACCTCGGGCACTCTGCCGCTGCCGCTCTCTGTCCGTCTCTGGCCTGGTCTTGCCCTTATTTATCCTTATTTCCCCTTCCGCTTAAAGAACATTAAGGCATCAAGGCAACTCAAGAACTCAACAGGAACTCAAGGCACTCAGACCACTTAGGCAGAAGCCAGATGCAGGCTGCCAAGAGCAACAGCGGCCCCCTCGAGCTGGCCATTGCCGATTCTCACTACGTGATTTCTCTTTGGGAGCTCAGCCCTGTTCTACAGTGAAGTCCGATGACTTCAATATGCTGCAACGCTTGCTGCAGTGCATGCTGCAGTGCTTATTCAAGAGGGTCGGCCTTGTCACTTGTCGCCACTTTCATTCAGACATGTTTGAGGAGGGCATCCTAGGACAACTAAACGCTCATCGACCTGTCATGCTGAGTCATGCTGAATTGTCGAGTCCGCAGCCATCTCAGCATCCATATTTTCCGGGAAGCATGACGTCTTCACACCGTTCAAGTGTGACAATTCGTTTCCTGGACGACATGGCACGGGTGCATCGCACTCTTGGAGTGAGAGCACTCAAGACAGTCAAGACGTAGCACCAAGTAGGAGATGTTTTAAAACGGCACGGCACTAAGCCCTGCTGAGCCGATGGAGGTACAGAACGGCCAGGACTGACGCCTCATCCGTTTGCTCTTGACCCAAGTGCGGAACCTGATCAGATGTTCTCTGCACATGCAACGAAATTCAACGAGTGCGAACGGAGAACGAATTATGGCCAAAACATGCGGTTTCAATCTTGTCACAGCACGCTGCTATTGAAGACTGCAGAGCCTCGGCGCCCGGTGGCTTTGTACAGTTGGCTGCCCTTGCTATTGTTGACATTTGTGGAAGTGAAGATTCGCGTCATCTCGATAGACCTGCATAAGGCGAGCGCATGCCCCCGACAAGCTGGAAGCAGAATTACGCTTGGCTGGGACCATCTCATGTTCTGACAAGCTCGTGTTGCCTGCGTTTCTGCAGATCTCGGTTGGAAACCGCTCCTCAAAGGCCGATGAAAGGCGCTGTCAAACATTAACAAAAGCTTTCTGTGGGGAATCCAACACTACCCAAAACTCGTGCCGGGGAGCGGGATGGATTGCCGAGTTCCTCGCAGACAACGCTGAAAGGGCTGTGCAAAACCTGTACATCTCATGTCATTTCAGTCTATGAAGACAATTAATATTAATTTTACGCACTCCATGCGCTCATCCTTGGTCGTGGATCGCTGCCGCACCGACGAAGTCCCCAGTTACAGACTTCTAACATCTTCTAGCTGCACCATGGTGCAAAGCGGAAATCTAAAAAGATGTGTCCTGCTCGGATAAGTTCATTCCACCTGCTGCCTCATGCGATGCCAGAGACCCAAGCTCAAAATGTGCAAATGTTCGAAACTGAGCAACCTGGTGCGTTCAGCTGGGCGGAACTGTGGAACCCTTTCAAGGCCTTGATGAGTTTGATGTCTTTGCGGATGAACTCCAGGTCTTGGCGAATGCACAATACATCTGCCTGGCAAAAAGATGCGCAGCCATCAATTTCACTTCCCGTTTGTCAACCCGGGATCAATGAGGCCAAAGCCGATTTGGCAGGACCGTGAGCTCGCATCATTCCTAGTAGATCAGTCTGACGGCTCGATTTCTGGTTCCGGGCTGCCGCATTCTGTCAATCAGAATCTCACCATCACGTGCATCATGTAAAGCATGTACATGAAATAAGAGCACTGGGCTGCATCTATGTCCAAAAGCTGGCATTGACAGCCGTCCTTCCATGAACTTTGTGTAGGAGACTTGCCCCTCTTCATCAGCCAGCATGTGGAACAGCGAGTGGCTCTCCTTGGCCGTTTGCAGCTTGCATCAGCTTGCCATGAGCCTCTCCATCTCCACCGCCCTATTAGACATGATGTCCGAAGTCAAGAGACGTTCAGGTCCACCTCCAAACCAGCAAGGAACCTTTTGACATTCGGATCCTGGAACAGGCCATCAATTGATGCAACACAATTGTGCGATGGGACTGCGCGCTGTTCCCCCCCTAGCTGTAGCAGATGCAGGCAGCTGCACTGCTGCACTTTGAACGAGGACTGTTGCATACTGTTGTTTTCTCATGGGGTTTGCCCCCTTTGCCTGGTCACGAACCTGGAACTTACCTGAATTTGCCCCGAGCTAAACTCACACTACAAATACACTCCAGGAGGGGAAGATGCCCAGTCCCACACGAGGGACTGATTGCCAGCCGCTTTGGCTGCATTAATTTGGGTTTCTAGATGTTTCTCGTGTCTTTCATACTCCACTCCTTCCTTCCTTCCTCTTGCCTGCTTTCACATTCCCGCAGCAGACACGTGAAAGATTGTGCTTACAACAGAAAAGCATGCTTTGTAGTCAGTGGAGAGCAAGAGCATATTGCGGCCATCTGCTGCCAGACACTTTTCAATCAACTGCCATAACCCAACAAGAAGAATTCTCCCTTGAATGTATAAAGCTGAAACTGCGTGCTGAATACGAAATTGTCTGATGGTAAGGCACAAACTCGGAAACTGAAAAATGTAAATATGTGAATCGGCAAACTGAAAACAAGTTATATTCGTTCTATTTGGGCCCATTTTCGTTGTATCTGGTCCCGGTTTTGTTGGTGTTTGCAGGTTTTCGTTGTATCTGGTCCCGGTTTTGTTGGTGTTTGCAGGTTTAAGCAGTGGAAAAAACTCAAATCTCTTGACGCTCGCTTTTATTTGGGTTCATTTTCGTTGTATTTGGGTTTGGAAAAAAGGTTCTAAAAATAGAGCAAAACCTAGAAAAGTGACACCTGCCAGTTTCAAATAAACATGGGCAGGTCTTTTGGAGTCAGGTACTGGTGATTTCCACTTTCCACTTGTTACTCGGGTTTAGGGCTTAGGGGTTTAGGGCTAAACACTCAAGGGTCTGGGATTCTGCGCTGAACTGATTTGTTGGGCTGCCCCTCCGCCCCCCTCTGTCCAAGCAAAAACGCATGATGACTCGAGCCTGACCCTGAACAAGTTGAGGACGCAATTGTCGACATGGTACCTGTTTTGCACGAAAACTCAGGTCGCAATCAGCTGCGCTCTGTGTTTTTGCATAAGAATCCCATGTTTGTTTTCCATGATCATGCTGTCTCACATCTTCAGGAAAACTGAAATGGTACCTGTTTCGCACGAAAACTCATGTCGCAATCAGCTGCGATCTGTGTTTTTGCATAAGAATTCCATGTTTGCTTCCCGTGATAATGCTGTCTCACATCTTCAGGAAAACCGAAATGGCACCTGTTTTGCATGAAAACTCAGGTCGCAATCAGTTGCGATTCCCATTATAATGCTGTCTCACATCTTCAAATGGTACCTGGTTTGCATAAAAACTCAGGTCGGTCTAGGATTCTGGGGTGAAACTGATTTGTTGGGCTGCCCCCCCCGCCCTCTGTCCAAGCAAAAACGCATGACTCGAGCCTGGCCCTGAACAAGTTGAGGACGCAACTGTCAAAATTGAACAGCAAAACTGACATGGTACCTGTTTTGCATGAGAACTCAGGTCGCAAATCACTTGCGTTCTGTGTTTTTTGCATAGGAATCCCATGTTTGTTTTCCATGACAATGCTGTCGCACATGGTACCTGTTTTGCATGAAACTCAGGTCGCAATCAGTTGCGATCTGTGTTTTTGCATAAGAATCCCATGTTTGTTTCCCATTAGAATGCTGTCTCACATCTTCAGGGAAACTGAAATGGTACCTGTTTTGCATGAAAACTCAGGTCGCATTCAGTTGCGATCTGTGTTTTTGCATAGATGGAGAGCTGGTGTGGTTCAATATGTCCAGAAGATGCAATATGTGTGTATTTGTCTCATGTGCGCTGGTAGTTCTTCGGCGACGAGCACCCTCGAAAAAAAGGAGGGTGCGCGATATGTTGGAGAAACAACAACCGGGTTTAGCATTGGGTTTAGCTGGGGTCTCCCAGGGCTTTATTTCAAATTGAATCCCTCGAGTAAAGGGCAGGGAAATATTTTGTTTTATTACATACCTCTAGACAGGTTTATGTACACATATATAGATACACACAAGGAGCCAGACAGTGCTTTTGTTTTACAGTTCTGTCGGGCTGCGTTGATATCTCGCGTGTGCTTTTTGTAATGTTACATTCTTGGCAACAGCCGTGGTGATGTTGCGCAGGTCCCTAGCCCACTACCTTAACCTCTAACTTATCAACTTCAAACCCTACACTGTAAGCCCTAACCCAAAAAACCTAAGCTGCAAACCCTCAACCCCTTATTCTGAACCTCAACCGCCTACACCCTCAAACCTAAACTGTTAAAACCTAAACTGTTAAACCGAAAGCAGCAAAACCTTAACCGTAAGTCTCCACCTGTCAGAGATGACTGCGCTTGGAGGAGGTCTTTCTCGAGCTCGGGACCTCCGTAAGAATTGTACGTCACGTGGGGCATGAGTGCGGGGGGCGTGGGAGGGGGGGAGAGAGAGGAGTTTTTTGTCATCTGCATTTTCACAGCCACTGCTCAAGTGGCCACGCATGTCACGTAGTGGGGCATGAGGAGGTGAGGGAGGGAGGGATCTGGGGGGCTGGAGTCTTTTTTTGTTATCTGCATTTACACAGCCACTGCTCAAGTGGCGCCACTGCTCAAGTGGCCACGCGTGTCATGTGGGCACGAGTGCGGAGTTATGGGGAGGCGGGGAAGGAGAGGAGGTCAGGAAGAGAGGCCAGTATCAGTTGTTCGCGGGTGGGTCTGCTGTTTAATAAGATCCGGCTTTCATTCTCTTTCACTCCCCCACAATGCCTGAAGTCCTGGATTCCAGGACACAAGCAATGTATCCTCGGCCCTCAAAAAGAGGTTCCCTGAAGGAGCCGTGAGTCCTGGCTTCCGTGGCTTGCAAGGCTTGAGGGTTCAACCTTTTCAAAAAAGCTACACGACCTTGAACCCCTTGAAACTTTGATTGTCACAGGCACCACAGGCGCTTGTCTTTGCATGGATTTCTAACAGGACGAAGCCCGCGCAGCGACAACAGAGCAGGGAGGCCCATTGTTCAAAAACATATGGTTCATGAATCCTAAACCCCTTCAGCCCCAAAAGCAACAAGACCTTGAAACTTTGATTCTCACAGGCGCCACAGGCACTTGTCTTTGCATGGATTTCTAACAGGACGAAGCCCGCGCAGCGACAACAGAGCAGGGAGGCCCCATAGTTCAAAAACATATGGTTCATGAATCCTAAACCCCTTCAGCCCCAAAAGCAACAAGACCTTGAAACTTTGATTCTCACAGGCGCCACAGGCACTTGTGTTTGCATGGATTTCTAACAGGACGAAGCCCGCGCAGCGAAAACAGAGCAGGGAGGCCCCATTGTTCAAAAACATATGGTTCATGAATCCTAAACCCTTTCAGCCCCAAAAACAACAAGACCTTCAAACTTTGATTCTCACAGGCATCGCAGGCGCTTGTTTTTGCATGGGTTTCTAAAAGGATAAACATGGGATTCCTATGCAAAAAACACAGAACGCAAGTGATTGCGACCTGAGTTCTCATGCAAAACAGGTACCATGTCAGTTTTCCTGTTCAATTTTGACAATTGCGTCCTCAACTTGTTGGGGCCAGGCTCGAGTCATGCGTTTTTGCTTTGGACAGAGGGAGGGGGGGGGGGGGGGGGGGGGGCGGCCCAACAAATCAGTTTCAGCCCACAGTCCCAGACCCTATAGTCTTTAGGCCCTAAACCCCTAAACCCTAAACCCGAGTAACAAGTGGCAAGTGGAAACTACCAGTACCTGACTTCAAAGGACCTGCCCATGTTTTATTTGAAACTGGCAGGTGTCACTTTTCTGGGTTTTGCTTCATGTTTAAAACCTTTTTTCCAAACCCAAATACAGCGAAAATGAACCCATATAACTTAAACCCAGATTTGGGAAACCAACAGCAACATAGATTACCACGAACAAAAATACTACTTAAGTATCAAACTGCCCTCGACGATGGAGCCGTAAATCTGCAAAAAAATGCTTTGAGCAGCTTTTTCGTTTCCTGATGCTGCTAGATTCGCGCAAAAACAACTGCCTGAACATCAAAGGTTCTTGAACGCACCGGGGCTATGAACATCGTCATATCCGCCTCCCTACTGCACCTCACCCCCACCAAGGCTGGAATGTGGAATCGGACCGCTTCCAGAATCGAGTAGCTTCCTGGTGTTGTGAATCGGTGTTTCTTGAGTCGCAGAGGCGTAGCCTACTGAAAACACAGCTGGCAAGAACATTACTGTGTAAACTATACAATGATTCTTACCTCTCACCTCAACTTTTTAGACTCAAAAAAAGAAACCTGATAGGAGCCACGAAAGGAATGCAGATACCTATTGCGTACACGGCAACCAACAAAGATGCGGCGCACGACACGAGGTCCGAACTAAAGTGTGTTATTCGTCTCTCTGTCTGACTCTCTGTATGATTACTGACTCTCTCTCTCTCTCTCTCTCTCTCTCTCTCACTCTCTCTCATCTCTTCTCCCTCTCTGACATCTCTCCTCAATCTCATCTCTCTCGCCCTCATTCTCTCTCATTCTCTCTCTCTCTCTCTCTCTCTCTCTCTCTCTCTCTCTCTCTCTCTCTCTCTCTCTCTCTCTCTCTCTCTCTCCCTCTCTCCCTCTCTCTCTCTCTCTCGATTCGTGCCAGCACGGGAGCTTTCGAACGCTCTCGCACGCTTGTTGCAGGTGTTTGATCTCCAGCGCAGCGTCTGAAGTCCCCCGGGCTGCTGAGGGACACCATCCTTACCCTTGCACCGTGAGAAGTCGGGTCCAGGGTTGACTCTGGGTCTTCAGCGAAGCATCAACACCTAGCAAAGCCGAGTTTCCTGAACCCTGAAATATGAATCCACATAGCCCTAAAGTCCAATCCTGAACGTCCAATCCCCAAACCCCCAAACGATCAAGAGGAATATGGCTGGAATTCAATTTTAATTTTGGATTAAAATCGAGTTTAATCCAAAGGCTTTGCTTGTCGCCGACGACCAACTCAGCGGAGTAATCACGATTTCAATCCGTTCCGGCCCGTGCAACGCCTGGCGGCTTAAAATCGATTCAATCCGGCCCAAACTAATCATTTGCATGGTCTGGGTTGTAATTGATTTAAAGCCGCCAGTCAATCCAAACCGACTTAAAATGGATTTTAAGTCGGTTTTTGCTCCATCGGCTTGAAATCGATTTTACCCTAACCAGTAGGACACCCATGAAATTAGGGACAAGCAGATAACTAAATATACCTACACCGGAATGTTGAAGGCATGGATAGTAATAATAATCATAATAATGATAGTACTAAGAATAGTAATAATAATGATAGTAGTAATAATAATAATAGTATAATAATAGTACTAAGAATAATAATAATGATAGTATTAAGAATAATAATAGTAATAATAATAATGATAGCAATAATAATAGTACTAAGAAGAAGAATAATAATAGTAGTAATGGTAATAAAAAATAATAATAGTAATAATAAGAGTAATAGTAATAATAATAATAGTAATAATAATAATAAGAGTAAGAACAATAGTAATAGTAATAACAAGAATTACTAATAGTAGTAATAATAGTACAACTAAATCATGATTTAATGGTGCAAATACAATTGAATCATGATTTAAATTGTGCAAATAGGTACCAATTAGCAGAAGTCTCTGCTATACCATTAACTCAAGATTTAATTGTCTGCCAGTCAAACACACAGGAACACAATTAAATCTGGATTTAATTGTGTTTCTGGAGGGAAAAAGGTATGTCGAGGTAGGTCAAAACCCAACCCAAAGGCAACAATTAAATCAGGATTTAGTTTTTTTTAACTTCTGGATTCATTGGTTTTCCCCCCCCCCCCCCCCCCCCCCCCCCCCCCCCCCACACCCCGTCAAGTAGCTCGGGCATCCTGCCAGTCTGTGCGCTGCATGTCGTCATATGCTTGTCTCCAGCCAAGCATGTCACACTAGCTGCCTACACGGCGAAGCTGCGGGTGGCTCACAACCGGAAAAGAGCCTGGAAGGAGAGGGATGGTTTAGGGTTTCGGTTTACCCTTAACCTCCCAAGGGCCCCGTAACATTCGCCTGAAACTTGAAGCCGTGGGTTCATGATCGCAGAACTTCCCAGTTCAAACCCTAAAGACAGAACCCTCAACCCTGACCCTTAAACCCTTACCCCTAACACCTAAACCCTAAACCCGGACCAGAAAGCCCTAAACCCTAAAGCCTCGAGTTTTTGTGTTCGGCCCCGGAACCTTCAAGTCGTGGTTTTATGATCGCAGAACTTCCCTAAAGACAAAACCCTAAACCCTGACCCTTAAACCCTTACCCCTAACCCCTACACCCTAAACCCCAGACCCGAAAGCCCGAAACCCTAAACCCTCGAGTTTTTGTGTTCCTTCTCCCAGCCTGGGCCTCTTCGGGACTTAGACATGCCAGGTCCAACCCCAAGTCCCCCAACCTGCCCCCCTCCTCCCTGAGTCCACGTCCAAGCCTGAGGCTTACTCATGACCAAGCCCAAGCAAGAGGAAACAGGAAATCGCAATTCAAACCTTCCACACGAAGACCTTGAACATGGGATAAGGAATGGATTTTCCAAATCGGATTAAATTCGATTTTAATCCAAAGGTCCATCTGCATTGCATGACGCCCAAACATGGGACAAAGAATGGGTGTTCGAAATCGGATTAAAATCGATTTTAATCAATCATTGTCCGACCCAACAAAACGGATAAAAATCGATTTTAATCCGTGCCCGCGCCAGGGAGCCGAGAATGGAGCGGCTTAAAATCGACTTTAGTCCGTGGTTAAAAGCTCGTCTTCGACAACCAACCCTTTCGGATTAGAATTGATTTAAATCGCAAGTTACAATCGAATTCCAGCCATACCCCGATCAAGAGTTTCAGCACAGTTGGTAGGGTTAGAGGCTTAGGGTGGTTAGGGTTCAGGGTTGGCCGGGCCCAGCTTTCCGCTACAACCTCCCGCGAACCCGGTGCAAGCTAGCATAGTTTCGTGAATCGGGCAGCTTCCTGAGGTCCACTGTTTGCTGAAGTGCGTGTTTTCTACAAACAGTTCACTGTACTGAACCGCAAAGCGAGCTGGAGTGCCTAGTTTCCAGAACTGGAGTTTCCTGAATTGCTGGACCAGGGAGATTCCTGAATCCTGGTTGTTGAATCGCGGCCAGTATCGTGCTAGAACCTTGTTTCTGCAGGTATCTCCAGGGAGCTTGCGTGTCGAAAGGGATAGCCGGTTGCTTGCTATGTGCGACTGCTTCGTTTTTCTATCTGTTTCCATGCCATGGAGCAACATGTCAAGTCCCCAATGACGAGGCCAACGTGCACAGGATCTCTAGTCGTGAGATGTAGACAGTCACTTGCAGACTAAGCCAGCCAAGCCGTCCTCCATCATGCTTCTGAACTCGTCTTCCGAGATAAGCCCGTCGCCGGAGGTGTCGACTTCATGGAACACTCTTGCCAATTTGCGCATGTACTTTTGCTTTGTGGCCTGCCACAAGTTTGCACACTCGATCCATGAATCGGGCAGACTGTGAATTGCATGTTGTGTTTGCAATGACTGTGCCCCATGTCGGCTTCAGCCAAACAGATCTAGTATCGAAGCCTGCGAAACTGCTCCAGTGCCTCCTTTTCGGACATGACAACCTCATGATCCTCGCCAGCCGCATCCAAAGTTTCCTCGCTCAGCTGTCATCATCGATACAACAAGATCTAAGGAAAGACAATGTCCACTTGATACCGATTTTGCAGCGCATCGTTGGGCCATCTGTGTGAATAAGGTGAATTTGGACGCCTGTCTGTTGCATGGCTAGGCAGGAACATTGGAGTCAGAATGTTTGAAGGTTATTTTGTTACATTGTGAACGACATCAGCCAGCCCGTTCAGCGACTTGCATGCATGTCCTTGATGAAGATCGCCGTTATTACGCGCATCACTGCGAAGACCACAAACGTGACGTACGCACAAAAAAATGCCGAGTACCTCAGTTCGGGTTGAAACTTTGAAGCGCTTAGACCACCGCGGCTCCGATTCCCCAGCTCTCCAAAGTTTCTGCCGTGGTGCCACTGACTGACGTTCTCGTACAACGGATTGACATATGAAGGCCAACATCCAGCGAAAGTCACCTACGAACAAGCGCGTAGTTTCCAGGCTGCACCCCCTCTGAACAAGCATTAAATGAACAAGGAGTGGAATTGCCAAAGGTGGTTCCCTTGCACGATGCTTCTGAACAATGTCTGAACAATCGTCGTGAAGTTATGTGAAGTTGCTGTGGCGGCCCATGTACCCTTGCACGTAACACGGATCGCAAGAAAAGCGCGAACGCAAGATGTCATCCAACATAGTCATGCAAGTTAAAAGACGTCAAGAATACGAAAACCCCATGACCGCTGCTTGCTGGAAAACACAGCTGTACAATGCCAACACTTCCTTCGAGGCAATCGGTGATGCTGTCACCCATGCGTGACAGTGGGTGGTCTCGGGAGGCGTCGTATCGATAAACGGCTTTTCTCGTGCAAACACCTCCAGCTGTGCATGCTGACAGGGCGCCTCGTGTTCACATGCACAAGCACACGGGTGGACGAACCAAAGACAGGTCTTTGTATAGGCAGCGATGGCTGCAGAAAGGCTCCGGCAGCCCTGGGTTAGAGCATCCTCTCTCTGCGAGCCAGCATTACTTTCGGGGTGCTGCGGACTTTTTGGGCCTGTCCTAGAGCAAGGTGCTTTATGGTGCTTTCAGCCGAGATTTCTTTGCAGGGCTTCCGAGCTCCCCTTGCAGGGCTGAAAAGCGGCATGCGTAGTACTCCTTAGAACAAGGCAAGGACTTGTGTGGCGAAGGTGCCAGGCAGTCCCGCAAGAAGGGTCTCTGGGCACTGTAGGGCTTGTAGGCCTTGTAGGGTCTGTAGCCTAGCTTCTTAGCTGGGGCCTCCCCACCTCTTCAACCCCTGCGGCCCCTGCCTGGAACATGGTATACGTTGCGCGGTAGGATGTGCCTCAGATGGCATACTGATGGCATGCTGGCTTCAGAGCGCTTCGCTGCACGATGCACAGATTGAACTGCCACACTGATTCTGCCAGCACTCCGTAATGCTGCCAGATCCATTTTCGGATCTCTAAGTCTTGGCCTCAGGCACACCACAGTGATTAAACCACACAGAACGTACAGAACTCACAGAACAGGAAACGGTGTGACAGCATTGACCATGCTGACACGGTGCCCGCATCGGTGATAAACTCCATCACGAAGTTCCCGATCAATAGCCCACCCAATACCATGTAGATGGTTAAGAACAACATGGACCAAAACCTTGCCAGGACAACGCTGCGAATAAGCATGAACAGTAGCGAAATGGCGCGAACGTGACAGCAGCTATCAAAAGGTCTCATGTGCTGCATGGGCACAATGATGGGAGGAAAGCACTGACAGCGGCTACCAAGACGCGCAACCCGGTGAAGAGGCGCATCGTGCCTCAAGTTGTTTCAGAGTAGGATTCGGTTTTCAGCGTTTCTTCCTGCGTCCTGCAGCATCCTGCAGCAGCAGAGCTTGTAAGCCCTGTTGAGAGCAGTGCGCATGACGCGAAGGGAGCGCGTTAGCTTGAGGATGCGTAGGATCCGCAGGACGACCATGTTGACGCGGCCTGAGAGCACGCAAAAGCAAGGCCAAGCAACATTTTGTCAAAACAACCATGGGGGATTGATGGGGATTGCTGATAACATCTGATAACGATAACGTACTGTGTGAGCCATGCCATGCATCATCATGCATCCAAGCATCCAGAACCTTCAAGTTGCTTGATGATCAGCATGTCTACCAAGCTCAAGGCCTTGAAGCCATCACTCGAACTGCTGCTGTGAGGAAAAAGGCTCTTGAAGGAGAGAAAACCGGAGAATAATGGACAGCGGTCCTCAATTTGAATGCTCGAGCCTCTGAGAAGGAAGTTTTGCTGCAGACGTGCTTGGCAACCCTTCCGCTGCCGCATCGAATGTGCTGCAAGTCCTCTAATACAAGTACTGCAGTTCCTCTGTGCGAATCTACAAACTCCCGAATCCATATGGCCATAAAGAGATCAGACAAGTCCGTCTGTGTATGTCCGTGTCGCTTTGTGTCGCCAGCGCACCGCTCGAAATATAGCGGGGGCCGCTTTACACCCCCACCTCTGCTTCAACTTCACACGTTTATCATAGAATTCACCCCGATTCTCGATGTGGGCTGTGGGCTCGCAGCGACGTGAGTCGGAAAACCAGGACAACAAGGGTAGTACAGAGATCATATCCTTTTAAATTTCTGCAAACTTTTCACAAGCTTCTGCGGATGTCCGCGGCGACAGCCTTCCATTGTCTTCCTGTATCTTGTTGTGGTGTGTGAACCAGGTGGGCTGCTACAACAGGTGCACGCGGATGCCCACGTACGCTTGCTTGGTAGATTTCCTGAGGGCGTGGCAACTAGAAAGGCGTCGAACACGTTGAAGGCACTGCGAAAATAGTGCAGTCTGTGGATCCACAGACGTACCTGACTCACTGAACCATGTAAGCCCATTTAAGAATTTTAGAGTTTTGCGGCAACTGGACATGTATGTCAGATTCAAGCTGCCAAATGCGAGTGAATTTCAAAGGAACTTTAGACAAGGCTGTTCCACAGGCATCTCAACGGTCAAAGCACGCAAGCCAAGCTCTCCCTTACATCCCTTACTCGTACAGCAGAGCTGCAATCAGCTCCAGCAGAAATATCACAGCAAAGGCCTGCCATCTGCAAAGCAAAAAAATCCAGTCCTATCTTTGGCCTGGGGACAGGATTTGCCACGTATCTGTTAAGATTCTGGAATTGGTTGGGATGATACGTGGTTTCACACGGTTTCACATGGCATGTTCGCATCACCCGAGTAATAGACGAGCAACCTCATGGGACTCCAATTCTTCTGAAATCGCCGTCCAATTCTGGCCTACCTGCAAACCTCTTCTTGCAAGGTACGTACTTTTGAGCCCTACCGAAGCAGCTGCTTTCGGACCCGTCCAGCCTCTTCGATACTGACAAAGACGTCCTGGTGTCTGAGAAGTGTACTGCACAAATGCCATACATGGTTTAGCTGCTTTAGTGCAGCTTCTGCATTTACTCCTTGATCCCCGCAACTCGTGTCTGACTCGACAGGCTCGAATGTTGGCATTCGTGGCTTGACAAGACCCGATGTGAATTCATGTTGAAGGTGGGAGCGCCATGGCGCCATGAGCGACTCCTGATAAATGGAACTCGCAGCGCCAAAAGCATAGGCAGTCCATTTGCCGTCAGGGTATGACAGCACCGGCGCATTCACAACATGTTCGCAGACAAGAAGTACCAGCTCAGAAAACCCTAAACCCAAAGAACTCGGTGGGTCTAGAGTTCCGCAAGTGTTAGGGTATGAGGGCCCTAAACCCTAAACCCTAAACCCTAATCCCTAAACCCTAAACTTCAACGCTCGGAGGGCCACAGACTTAAGCCCGACTGAGGCCTAGGTTCTGGAGCCTACATTAGGGTTTAGGGTTTAGGGTTCCTAAACCCTAAACACTAAACCCTAAACCCTAAACCCTAAACCCTATAGAGCCCAAAAAAACCTGAGTGCCTGGTTTCCCCAAGCGCCGCAGCCCTTCTTCCTCGCAACCCTGTTGTATCAGGCTTTGGGTTCAGGATTAGTGGGGTGCTTAGGGTTTAGGGTTTAGGATTTAGGGTTTAGGATTTAGGGTTAGGGTTCATTGTGCCATCTTCTACCGACGTTGTCGAGAATAAGTGGATGGTTTGACGATCTGGCTCGGTTTGACGCAAGTTGGCCCTGGGGAGGACGCAGCGGTCGAATGCTCAGTGATAACAGATACCAGCCTCAGCCCCAGCCACTATTCAAACCTAAGACGAGCGGTCAGACTTTGTGTGGCTGATGACCCCATTGACCCCTCACACCCGCAAATTGACTCAGGTCCTCTGAGATGGACAGGCTGTCCATGGCCGGGTCATACTCACCGAGATCTCGCGCAGCATCATATCCCATCTGTTGGTGTGCCAGCATCATGACCTCACTCTGATTTTTGCTGCCACCGCTGCTTGGAGCGGTACAAACGGGGCATGAAGATGCTGCATGATGCTGCATCGACACACCATGAGACTGGGGACCTGGCCAAGGTGTTCAGCGAGATTAGAATACCCACGCCAAGGTCCAAGATCCTGTCAGCCGCAGAACATCGAAGAACATTCACAGAACATCGCAAAACATGGCAGAACTCCCTGGAGACTTCGGATGTCGCTCCGGAACTGTAAACCATAAAACTCCACTCATGACCACACGCTGCCAAACAGCACATCCCATGGCTTTCTTTCACAGTCTTGCCAGCATCTGCAGCCCACACCTTCGCTCCGCGCGTGCCAGCTTCGCTCCTGAGTTCGCACGGAAAGGTGAGCCGTGAGCCGTGAGCCCATGTATTGGCACGCAGCACGCATGTCGAACGTGACAGGCCAAGTTGCTGGAATACCGACAGAACTTCTGAAAAGAGGTTCCCGTCGGCTCCTGCTGCGAGGAACTATAATTCACAATGCAGCTGCATCTCTATACCAACTAAAGCAATTAAATACATACGCCTAGTGTTATATATATATGTACATATCCCCTTATACATATACATTGACACACATCTACTTACAGTTCTATATGTGTATATGTACGAGTATATATGTGTATTTAGACAATGGAGAGGACCAAGTAGGAGGAGTCCTGCAGGTCCCTTTCGATATCGCGAATCTCCATCTCTTGCGCGTCGTCTTCTTCGTCCGCGTCCAGTTCTACCGAATCCTGCAGCATGCTGCAGACCGCTACCAGTGGCACCCGGCGGAAGCATGTCCCAGTATCCTTGTCGCAGTACTCGGTTGGATTGCCTGAGATACTGCCACACAGGATGTGCTTGGTCTCAACAAGTCTAGCATCTTCTAGCAGTGTGAGCAAGTCAACAATTCATGCCGGCTGGTATCGCTTCAAAGAGACACATCATCAGCAACCCCAGAGACAGGTCAAAGGCCATACCAACCCCATCCACCAACCAAAAAAAAAGTTTCAAGGTCGGAGGTGCTTGCGCGGCTGGCGGTGCCTGGGTGTCCTGCGTGGGCCACAAACTTTCGTGCTCCGAAGACTGCGCAACGATAACGGAAAGATGCAACTAGACCCTCAGGCCATGCGTGAATGATGGTGCGAGCCAACAGCGACCCACCCGGACTCGACTCCTGGATCCGCATCTACCTGTCAGAGTCATAATTCGAATCATGTGCTCCAGTGCACAGGCTGTGCAACATTTCAGCATCGTGATAAAATACACCATGCTACGGGTGCCAGATAGTTCTTAGGGGTAACAGTGCGGCAACTGCGGCAACTCAGCATTTGGCCTCGGCATGGATCCAGGAAGCAAGCTTGCCATCGCGACCATCGCCCTGGACCTCCGTCTCAGTTCCGTGATACGGATGCATACGGATGCGCGCGCCACGCACATCCCGCAGAACATTCTGCGGTCGCACAGCCGCGCCTGCAGGATATCGTCTTCAAGGGAGTCGATGAGCTTCAGCCAATTCCTAATTGTTCAACGAAACTGGGTCACCCAGATTAAGCGGTAGGCGTTTTTGTTGCGGGTGCACGCGGGGTGTCCTTTTGCAGTGTTTCGTGGGGTTTACTTGAGTTTAGCTTTGCAGAGGAGATGATTCGGGGAAGAAGGGGCTTGTCCCTGGCGGAGCAGGGCCTGCCAACCTTCAAAAGGAAACCCGGAGAAGCGAGCCAACTGTATGGATCAGTGAGACTGGGCTTGCGGGGCCCATTAAACATCTGTCAGTGGGCCCTGCCAGCAGGTCCAGTTTCATGTGGAATGAGATAGGGCTTGTGCAGCCCATTGCAAGCATGCCAATACCGCAGTACAAACCTCCGTCCCAGAAAGCCTTTCCCAAACTTGATTCAGGGGGTCCCGGAAAATACATGTTGAATTTGCTAGGGGTGGTTTATAATCAGAGCCCCACATGACTAGGGTCCCCACGTGTCGGTTGGGAAACACTTTTCAATGTGTGATGTGCACTGCTGGCCGACAACTTGCGGGCACCAAACGCTGACGCCACCTAAGCGATCCGACGGATGCACGAGTCATCACCAATCACCTGCCGAGCGCAAACAAAGGGCCCGAGCCTCCTTTGCAGGCAGCATTCCGGCACGTTGCCAGCATGAGCCTCCTTGACCCACCTGTTGCCCGTAATGTTGTGCTGCCTGACAGCTGTCTTGCCCGTTGCCCTCACCCCCTCCCCACACATGATGCGTGCGACTCTGTCCTCAAAAATCTAACAACCCAACTTGTCGAGAGGGAACAGCAGGGTCCCAGGTTAGACAGCCCGCACAAAAGAGAAATACATAGACATGCCTGAGAAAAGCTGAAGCGCACAGAAAGGATTGTTCCGAGGCTCTCGTCCAAAGCTCGCCGCAGGTCGTGGTGCAGTTGCAGAAGTCGCTCTTTGAGCCTGACTCGTGTCATCAAACAATAAGTCTTGCTCTTCCTACATGGAAGTTTGGATGTCAACATCGAACCCTCAAACAAGGCATGAGGTGCGCAGCTTGAGTTTCTCGTCCCGGCCAACTCCGGACACAGCAGCCACAGAGCGGAACGGGCAAGGGGCGGCATTTTCCAACCCTCACATCAGTTCATATCAGTTCAACTTGTTGTTGCGAGGGCCATGGAACGCTAAATGAAAGTAAACCACGACCACAACCTCTTCCTCCTAGAGAAGCACCTCTATGACGTCAAGCTTGCCCAGCATTGATTTTCAGTACCCTCTAGTGACTAGACACTCCTCAGTCTTGCGAGCCCGAGTTTCGTTTGTCCTCATGCGACCGTTCAACTGCTTCTTGCTCCTCGAGTGCCTATTGAGTCTAAATACGAAAAAGCCAGATTGCAGAGCTTTGGGAGAATGTTTTGGGGAAAATACCGGCAGAGGACATAATTGCTGAGTTTCATCGAAAAACCATATAAAAGCCTTAATTCCAAAGCCTCTCTTGTCCCGAGAAAACTTGAGCTTAGCTGCGCGTGCTCCATACTTGTGGACGTGTCATCTGCGGTCGGCAGCGCAGCACCTACAGCGAAGCGAAAGGCAGCGCCCTTCAGCTACTCACAGTGCACTCTGCTGCCGAAGCAACTTGCATGGTGTAGTGCTCGGAGATACTCCCGAACAATAGGAAAATAGCGAGATATAGCGAGCTTGCCAGATGTTAAATCAACGAAGTGGCCATCAGCAGCTTTCAGGGTGAGCGGTGGAGGGCACAGCAGTCCGTTCGACTGCTTCACGCTGGGAACTGGCATCAGCTTGGACAGTTGAATACAGATTGCTGACTTGATTCTTGCTGATAGCATAGCAGGCTAGAGAAATTCTCTATCAGCTGCAGAATGGGCTTGGAACAAGTTATGCGAATAACTTCTGTGAGCACGTATGACACTTATTGCAGCGCTGAGCATGCGATGGAACTGCCGATGTATTGCATGTATTTGCAGTGCTTGCTTGTGGCGCTTCTGATTTCTTGGCGCGTGCTCTACCCTGAAGTCAAGTATAACAACACCACTTACTCGAGCACACGACACGCACATTGTGCAACTATGACGCATGCTGTAAAGGTGATTGTTTCATCCTTCCAGATCGTCTGAAAAAATCTGAAGGGTGGCGGGCAGGACTTCACCCAAGTCTTCAAAGGGCCATGGAATGCTTATCATTCAAAGGTTTACAAGGCCGGTGAAGCTCAGGCACTGTCCAGGTCAAGATAGGCGCAAGGCCTTGCCTGGAACCTCCTCAACCTCCTCAAAACCTCCCCGGAACCTCTTCGAACCTGCCCGCCCGGAACCTGCTTGGAACCTCCCCAGAACCTCCTGAACCTTCCCAGGCATGTTGCAGTGGCTTGCTGCACGGGGGCTTGGAGCTGTTTCCCGGCAACGTGGCGCAGTAGTCTCGGGCTGCATATCAGTAGCTGCAGCTTCAATAGTCAAGTGCTGAGTTCACCCAGAACTTGTTGGCACTTCAGCCACACTTCCCGCAGCTGCTTTGAGCTGGGGACACACGGTTGTCCGCCATGCACCAGTTGGTCAAAAGACATTTCGGGCACCAGTCATCAGCATCTGTCTTCCTCAAACCGCTGGATCTCAGAGTTTCCAAGGAGGCCGGCGAATTCCTCTGACCGAGCAATGGGATGCACGCCGAAGTCTTGTTTGCCTCAATACCCTCTCCATCCGACTCCATCCGACTCCATCCCTCTCCTCCACGGTGCTGTCACTGGCCACAGCCTTGCCAGCATGTCGCGCACAAAGCAGCTGCCTGAAAGCGTGTGCAGAAAACTGCAGGAGGCACCGGTGTGGCCATGGGCCGCAGCACAGCTAACGCCAGCAGCACACAGGCGACCCCTGCGCAGGTCCACAACGACTCCAAACGATTCGCGCGCAAGCTCAAGACCTGAAATCATCACGAGCCTAGCGTCATCCACAAGGCTGAATGGTCCTAGCAAGAAGGCACCACACGGCCAAGGCAAGCTACTACACCCTAACCACTGCGGAATACATCGTCATCAACACTTCGGAAGCCGTGCGTTCTCTGCGCCCCTGCCAAACCCCCCCCCCCCACACACACCCATCCGGCGGGGTAGCCCTACAATTCCTTGGATCCTTCGGCCTAACACCAAAACCCGAAAAGCAAAGCCTGTATCTTGACCCTACTGCGTAGCTTATGATATTGTTTTGCTTCACCATCCAAAAACCTTGCATTGGAACATTGAATCCCTGTTGCCTAAGGCTGAATGAATATCACAAAATATAACAAACTTGCTGAACCAATCCCACCGCCAAAAAGTACCACAGAAAGGTCACCGGGTAGCACCCGAGTGAGTGGGTCCTCTGGAGGCACAACCAGGTCAACAAGGCGGTCACCATCCTGGAAGATGCTGGAAAATCTGAGGTATCACCGCACTAAGGGCAGACTTGCTTCTGACAGGTATTGGCTCGTTATGCTGGCATGCCAACAGCGACCCATAGCGCAAGCGCGGGACTGCCGGCGGCAGGAAACGACACGAAGAACGTTGATAGAAAAACTTTCTTTCGCGCCGGTTTGTCGCACGCTTTTGCAAACACCTCTCGGGCAAAACTCAGATGATCATGGCAGTGCTGCAGTATGTGGCAGTTCTGTGGTTGGTGTCGGTGCTTCTACTTCTTTAGGCTTGCGGCTTGCACCGTCGGAGATGCTTTTGGCCTACTTCTGAGGGCGGGGCGAAAACAAACACACAAACGGACACCGGCTGCAGACCATAGACCTGCAACCCTACTTCTGAGGGCGGCGCACAGCAAATTATCTAAAGCTTAGCCGGCGTCGGGCTCGCTGCCCATTGGCAGGAGGCACAGGAAACTTGCAGCTGGACGGTAGCCCGAGACAAAAGTCGACGAAGGCGGCTCGGTAGGCGGTGCTCAGACCGATCAAGAGGAGGATTGACTCACTCACCCAAGCGGAGGCGGACCAGAGGAGGTGGCTGGACGTGGAGGCGGACCTAGCTGAATGGGTGGTTGTCAAAAGGCCTTGTACAGCGAGGAGAACGGCAGATGGCCAAAAAAACTACCTCCACCGTGGCAGGGTCATGCATGTTCCCAGCGGATCACAAAACACTGCAGAGCAGCCGCCTCCACCCATGCAAACTCCGTTGCTCGCACAAACTCCCTCAACGCACTGGCAGACCTTACATTTGAACGGCAAGCCGAACAACGTCGGGCATCTGAATCTGCACACAAGAATCGCATGTATGCGGCGCATGATTCTGGGTTTACGTCAAAACTGGGCAAGAGGTGCAGTAAGGGCTGTGCTCCTGTGCCACCAAACGGAGTCGACAGATCTGCACAAGTGGTTCTGCCGCGGTCAGGCCTAGCATCACTAGCAGCGTGTTTCAGTCAAACTGTGTTACAGCATTCTGATGCTATTGCTGTCGGCTTTACGAACATAACTTTGTCAGGTGGCGAGAGATTTGTATGATCATGTAGAATGAAACAGACAATCCTGCACAAGGGCGATGCACCCTTGCATCCATTGGATGCAACGGGTTCGGGGCTTTGCCCGGCTAGTTAGGATGTTGGGTTTAGGATGGTTTAGGGTTTATACGGGAGGCAGCATGCGTTGTTGTTGATGTTCCTGGCAGTTGCTTTGCTTTGTTTGTGAGGGTGATCGCCCTTTCGGGGTCAAGCTACAAGTAACCTTAGACCGCCTAGACCATAAATTCCGTAAATCCATAAAAATCCTATGCGCCCTAACCCCCCCAAACCTGGCTAGCTGCGGCTATCTAATCAATGAGAGTTGGTACCGCTCGCATGCCTCCACACATGAGATGTGTGCCTTAACGAGTCGCGCTAATCCTGGTTTGCACAACGGAGTCCAAGGGATCCACATCCGTGGACTTGGTCCACTCAGGCCCTAGCCCCGGAAATAAGCAGCTGCGTTCATGGCTTTATTGAGTCTGGTGCCTGAGATTCCTACCGAAGGTGCACGTCCGTGCGTGCGCACGTGCAGTACATCGAAATTTTCTCTAGCTCCCCCCACAGCAAGCTCAGCTTTGACGTCTCCGGGATGTGTCGGCGTTAAAGCAAAGCAATGGCGTGGCCAGATGATTAAGCATTCTCAAGTTTGGGGTTTTGAGGGCGCGGTAGCAAAGAGATCGACACGGTACACCCACGTGTCATGACCCTAGCTCTTAATGAGGGCCGACGCTCTGTGAGCCAGCTCATGTCGGCAGCCAAGCCCCCTACCGACACTCACCAATTCCAGGCAGGAAGTAGGGGCCCATCATGATGCAGCTTGACTGCCTGGCAAAAGAATAGTTTGATCGGAATGCTCTCCAACACAGTGCCGAACGTCCTACTCACATAGCTCAGACGGTCAAACCATATGGTCAATCTCAATTTGTTGGTGGTAAGGGACGGCACCATAGCAGGAACCCCAAAGCACAAAATAGTTCAGACAGCTGTCTTTGCATAAAATTGTACAAACATGCTGGCCCCGGCAAGCAGCAGCGATCTGGGACTTGCGAACAGCTTGGCGGCTGTGCTGGCAACACGGAAGAAATTCATGGGGCATCATGCTGCGGGTGGTGCGGATGGGTGAAGTTGGGTCAGGCCGGCTACATGCCACATTGCTGGAACCATGTCGCTTCAAGGCTGTTAAGTAAGTCAAGGCACGATGCTGGGCTGCAAACTCTTTCGGGCAAAGGAATGGCAACCTCATTGATGCAGCACAACTAAAGGAAACTGAATACACAGCTCCTTTCGTGTCGTAAACTAGTCTGCCCGCAAGCATCTGCGTTAGCCTGCACATCTTGTCGACACCTCACCTGTCAGATACAGTAGTGTGCACGAAAATGGCGTGCGCACATAAATATGCCGAGGCCTCGGGCCGTAGAAGTTCGGGATCATTCTTCGCTTACCCACCAGCTAACAGCCTAATCCTATCCTAATCCTCCTCCCAGGTGCCATACCCTAGCTGAAGGGCATTCGGGAGCCGACCATAGGGGCACAGGGCGGTCACAAAATCGGGCCAACCCCCCCCCACCCCAATGCCGCAAACCACCTGTCAGTCGTACCATGCCCGCCACACCGACCCATTCCCAAGTGTGGAGCACAGCCTGCCACAGCCACGCAAGTCCGTGGACTACCGAGCGTGAGGCGACGCACGGGTGACAACGTCACTTTTTGCCCACTGGGCCCCCCCCATGTATGTAGGTATGTATGTATGTATGTAGGTATGTATGTATGTAGGTATGTCCCACTCGTAACGCTTCTTGTCAGTAACCGCTTCTGCAAAGCGCACTCGCGTATCGAAAAAAGTCAATCTGCCTTCGTGGTAAGAGGAGATCCCAAAGGCCAATTTATTTGAGGGCGAATGAGCTAAAGAGGCGGAGAGCCACGTCCATGAGCTGAGCGGCGGCGTTTTGCGGCAGAACTCTGACATGTCGAAGCTGGGAAAGGCAGGAAAGGACTGCAGTTCGGCCTGAAAAAGATGCGCAGCTGTAACTCGAAGAAACTGAACTCTGATACCCTGTGATCTGAAAAGCCGTCGTAACATTGTACACGCTGGGGCCCTGGAGTACACGCTGCACAAGCGACGGATCCTCTCTGGAAAACAGAGCCTGTGAGGTTGGTCCCCGCCCGACCTTCGCAACGGCAACGGCCAGGCTGAGCAGTGCGAGAGCCTTGTTTTGGTGAGTTTTGGTGCTGTCATTTTTTGTCGTCGTATTTCCGCACTTAGAATACTTGAGAGGGGCCTCGGACAAAAGCCAGCGTACCGCCAGGGTTTAGGCTTGGGTTGAGGGCATCTGGATTCTTAACTGGTACTCTGAGAGCCTGAAAACCGGGCCTAGTGCGTGTTGCAAGCTTTTGCGTGTCAAGAATGCAAGCAGAGCACCCCCAAGCTGGAGCCAGGAAGAGGCTCCCCCCCCACCTATATAACTAGGAAGCGCACACCAAAGCGGGCGAAGAAAGAAAAACATGGCTAAACATCAAAACTGAACCACCTCACATCAAGAAAAGGAACGATCGACATCAATAATTGAGCAAGCAGTCCTAGTGCGAGCAGTACAAAAGCCAGATTGTCATAGAAATCCGCGTAAAGTCCGGTTTTTGGGTCAAGCTACTGGGGAATTACAATCTACAAAGTCATGTTTTGCATCTGCTGAAAGCAGGAGGGGGGATGGGGGGGGGGGGGGGGGGGTTTGCAGCTCCCCCCCCGATTTGCAAATACAATGCTCGCATGGTGATTTTCGCAAGGATTTGTACAGTGATATGGTTTTGAAGGAATTTCAGCAGATTGCACAAACTCTCATACCCTTTTCTTTATATGCATGCATTTAATTCATGTATATCTACATTCTTGATTTATACTGACCATATGTATAGATTGCATGTGCCATGTGTATGTAAGATTACTGCTATACAGGTTATATATATATATACGCATAATATATGTATACACACATAGTAAACTATCCCTGATCATATTCATTATACATATATGGATATAGACATATGTAAATACATGATGAATGTATCACCAGAAGCCAAGAAGCCACGAAGCCAACAAAAAACAAGAAGCCACAAATCCACGGGACCAGGGGGACCGGAGCAACCCGAGAATGCGATTCTCTTAGCTCATCTCAACCAATTGTTGAGTGCTTATCTCTTTGCTTGTGCTTATTCGCTTCTTCCTGATACCTATGCCACCAAAGGGGGTACCTCGCCTAGAGGGGCGACCCTTCAACTCCCGATTTACCGGAGTTCAGGGGTTCAAGGAAAACTAATTTGTAAACAGAGGCGACAACTATACCGATGGAGCTCGCTCTTACTGTAGAAAGGATTATAAAGGTCATTTGACAAACGAACTCGATCGATGAAAACCTAAGCAGAGGCACCTTGACCAGAGTTGCGCAACAACTCTGAACAGCTGATGGTCCGATGGTGCCTCGCCTGCGGCATCGCTTGCTTTGCGTCCTTTGAGGACTGAGGACAAATGAGGCATGCGCCAGCTGCCGCGCCAACTGCACCAGCTCCATGCTTCTCAGCACTTGAGCATGGCATCATGCAGCATCCAGACGACACGCTATATGGCGACTGACGGTGAACTTTGAGCGCATTGCAGTTTGCTTGCAACTGCTGCGCATACCCTCATGATGCTGAGCCGGTCTGTTTTCTCAGATCGCTCACGGGCATTGAGCCGAAAGCCGAGATCAATATCAACAGCTGCCGAGATAGAACAATGATGTTGCGAGGCTGAATCCTTGTGGTGCCCTAAAGACATCTGCACTCCCATGCCCAACCTTTTTCAGATTTCATGCAAGGAAGATGGACTATTGTACACTGTGTACACTCTGCGACAATGCACATCCACCGGCTGGCTGGGATACCGCACATTCCAAGCAGGTGCCCAAAGCTTCAACTAACGCACAAAGCAAGTAAAATATCAATCAAAGAGTGCTGCTTGGAGCTGCAGTATATTGGATTGTGTGTGTGTGTACAGAAGCCACTTCTCAAGTGCATCTCAAGTGCTATCAGAGCCATCATTGGGCCCGCCAGGCTCTCTCGCAGTCAGGCCTATACATGACATTCGTCACCTGGCTGAGGCATCATTCTGCTGCATAGCTTGTCTGAATGATAACACCGTACTGTCTCCCACGCGCACAAACATAAAAACATGGTCACTGTTTTTCGTGCATTACTATTCGTGTCGAACGTTGGCAAGTTTTTGCTTAAAGAATATACATTGTATAGACCTAACAACGTGATTCAGTGGAACCAGAGCCAAAGTCAGCTCCCGTTTTGCCCTCGCTAAAGGTTTGCAGAGCTTGCCAGCAGCTTGCGCTTCCTGGAACTTGAATGGCTTAAAGCTTCTTCGAGGAGCATAGTGGCCTAGCGTACCCTACTGTTAATTCCATGAGTTTGCCAAAGCCTGACGTCGGCATGACGAGGGGCTCATAAGATCATAAGATGATGCATCGGCTCCATTGACATGAAGGAGGGAGGGGCGAACCCTCGAACCACTTGTCCAGGGTTTTAACAGCCTATCCGGCCTCGTTTCTCACGGTGACATGCGCTTAATGACAAGGTTCGGAGTTCGGATTCAATGCGCCTGGTCATGAAATGCATGGTAGTGAATTCCCCTGGTCGCAAGAGGCGGATTTCAACTAACTATCTTCTCGTTTGCTATGAGGGTGGTACTGAAGACTTTGTAGCTGCTCCTTGCTTCGTTCGGGTGTTGCATGGCGCTTCCTTGCATGGTTCTTGAATCTGCTGTCACTCGGGCAACGCCACAGTCAGCAAACAAAATCGAAAACGCGGAAGCCGCAGTCAGGAAACAACGACGCGGAGTCGGAAACACGGGGCCACTGTCGGAAAACACAAAGCCGCGAGCGGGAAACGAGGAACAAGGTACGCTGCCCACCTCCAGTGCCCGAGTTAGAGAGTCAAAGTTTGAAAAAGCCTCAGTCGGAAACGAAAGCAGCCATCGGAAAAAAATGGTCGTCCTAATACATTGACACAACAAGGAGCGACATGCGCTCCACACCTCCGGTGCCACAGTTTCAAACTTCAAATCGGAAACAAGCAACCCCACGGGAAAACGCACGGTCGTCGAAATACATTGACGCGACAATCCCTTATAGCATTCCTGTCCGCTGTCTGTCACCCGCTCCCAGATTGGAAAAGTGACAATTAAACAGCTAAGCGTGGAATGGTGTGTTCACAACCTGCAGCGCATATTTGCTTTACCCGAAAGAAAGAAGCCCTAGACTTCCAAGGTATCAAGCATACGTGAATAACAGAGACCGCTCCTGACAGATAGGAGTTGGAAATCAAGCAATCACAGTCGTATGCGTGGCAGCAACCTCGTGAAATTGAGAGAGCTGGCGCTCTAGCTAGGATGACTTGGGAACCATCAATCGTCGGAGATCAAGCAAGCATGACAAGTTCCTGGTCTTGGTCAGCGTATCACGGACATATACGTGTAAGTGACCTCGTGAAATCAAGAGGGTTGCCGTTCTGGCCATGACGATTTTGGCGCTATGAATGAGCTTTAGTGGCCTTCCTTTGGACGGCTTGACGCGTTGCGTCGCGACATCTTGTGTCACCCGAAAAAATAGGTCCACGCGCGATGTTCTGACTGCTGTCTTCGTGTAACATTGCATATGGTTGATACATGCAGCTCGTGTGTTGGTTCTTACCATGCGTTCAATTTTCATGAGCTGTTGTGGAGCTCGTGAAGCTTGCGGAGGCATGTCACCAGAGAAAGCTGTTTGCATCATTTGCATCGGTCAAAACTCAAGGTATGCCACTGTGTTGGTCCACGAGCATTTCTAAAGCACACCTCAAGTCCGCCCGTACCGGTGAGATGCCGGAAAAAACCAGGCCCCACCCCACCCAAAAAAGAATTAACGCGGCGAAGTTTAAGGGTTAACTAGTTGATTTCTACAGCAGAGCCACCTTACGCACACAAGACACGCGCAGACACCACACATACAAACATGCAAGTGTGTGCAAATGCAAAAAATCACGCCTGGGTGGACCGGGAGGCAGATTGAGGTCTGAATTCCTTCCCTGCCTATGAGGTTTGATTCTTGTGGACGTATGCTTCCAAGCTCAAAACCCTTCCCGCGCGGATCTTCGCGTTGTTAGGGGCCATGTTTGCTGACTATCGCGTCCGTGTTTTAGACTTTCTTTCGCTGATTTTTTTCGACTTTCTTTCGCTGACTGCTTGGCCTGTTTTCTGAATGTGGCTTCTCTCGCTGTCACTCGCTGCATCTCGCTTTCGCCCCGAGACAGGCACCTTGGGCTTGCAGTTCCGGAAGATGATGCGCGACAGCTCCTTTTGCGAGGCATCGTGGCATGTTCGCATGTTCAGACTATATTGACTATATCATGCTACGTCTGCAACATGAGCACCCATGCTTGCACCTGGCTGCACCATGCATCGCACATTGTGATGATGTGGGAAAGCGTGGGGGGAGCGGCGCACCAGAAGTTCTTACAAACTCTGAGAAGAGGACACTTGTCGAAAAGAACTCTCAAAATTGAAGGTAATGAAATGGTAAGGAAATGAGCGCGCACGATGTTCAAAGGGACCACCTCTTCCCGCTGGGTCTCTTGCAAAATACGAAGGCATATGCTTGGAACTTGGAAATCTTGGAACTCACTTCTCACGCTCTCTTTCTTTGCCAACGTATTAGGCCATCATGTGTCAAGACCATTGGCCAGTTTAGTACGACTGTTGTGGCCGTTGTCAACTCCCTGCGCAGGTGTCTGTGACATCTCAACCTAAGCAACCTTTGCAGTAGCATCCACTCTGTACGAAGAATGATCCGCAGAGGCAAGTGCACTTGGCTTTGCTTGCAACTAAATTCCCTCGGGCTCTCCGTCTCCACATCACCCACGAAGTCGACCAAACCGACACGCTGTGCCTGACCGAGACGAACACGGACAATGACATGGCAACTTTCACAAGCTGAAGCTCAGCCTCCCGGGCGTCTATTGGAAGGCCGTCAGTAATCATTTTCCTGGAGCACTCGAATTGCATGACCCGCATTTATTTGACATGGCAGAATATTGCTATAGCAATTCTATAGCACTCCCCTGTGCACCCCGTGCCCGAGAGAGCAAGAGCAAGAGAGAGAGAGAGAGAGGAAAACACAAAACAAAAGGCAACAAAACAAGCAAAACGAACTGCAGGGAACCCGAAAAATCCCGACTATGCACCCGCCGATAGACCCATAATCTCGCCTTCATCACCCACCTCAGCATCCCGCCCTCCCTGTGGGTCGACTGTCGGGGTGGGGACGGGTGTGGACGCTGGTCGAGGGTCACCGGAAAGCAAACGAAATTAGGTGGACGCGTGGTCGACACATTCGACGCGCAAGGCATTGGTCGACGGAGGTCGATGGGGAAGAGCAGATGCTTGGTCGACCGGCCAACGATGAGAGTGAACATTCCTAGATATACCACGCAAACTGCATCGAATAGTCCCGGATGGGAAAGCATTTCGGGCACACCGACGCTACTTGATAGATTTTGATACCCAAAGCAACTAACCACATAAAGGTTATTGGCTGTTTGCACAGATTTGATTAGTGTCAGCGTTATGCGCGACGTCCTGCAAAAGAGTGTGCATCTACTTTGGCTGATTGTTGAGTTGACGGTGTAAGTTGGCCATTTGGCTGAAACTGACACGGCAGAATTTGGGGCGGCGTCCTGTGTCTCTCGGCACAATTTCGCAACTCGTGCGCAGTGCTGTGCTTGTAAGCGGCGATTCTCCGAAATCAAATGGCGACTGTGGAAAAATCAAGCCCATTAGTTTTGATCATCTTACGGAATAGAGCCACGATTTGTCTAAATCGTGGGACCCTCATAAAAAGATAAAGGGTAGGCTTCTTCAGAAATCAAGCCAATTGATTTTTCATTCACGTGCGCGGTTGGCTTTGGCTATGAAATCAAGCGAACATTCCTGGCAACATCCAGCATGGATTTCAAAACAAAATAAACATAAAAGTGAGAGTATTGCCGAATGCTGCGTAGTTTTGATGAACACACACACACACACGGCGACAAATTCCCTCAGATAAACATCTCTTAGGTATGCGTTATAATGTAAATACATATATATATATATGTATGTAAGGTAGACCTTTATGCTCTATTTGACGGGTGCCCTGTGCTATTTAAAAAGATAAAACTGATTAAAGTGCGGGCCTTGAAGGCGCAGTTTAAACAGTTTGAATAGTTTAAATATTTAAAGTGTTTCAACTGTTTAAACTGCAAAAGGAAGGCGCAGTTTAAACAGTTTAAATATTTTTAATATTTAAAGTGTTTAAAGTGTTTAAACTGCGAATAGAAGGCGCAGTTTAAACAGTTTAAACTTTTTAAATATTTAAAGTGTTTAAAGTGTCTAAAACTGTTTAAACTGTTTAAACTGCAAATCGTTTCAAAAAGCCGAGTTTTAAGCTTTACATTTTTTCAATTCTGTAGTGCTTTTTCTGGACGATTTGCAGTTTAAACACTTTAAACAGTTTAAACTTTTTAATCTTTTTAAATATTTAAAGTGTTTAAAGTGTTTAAACTGCGAATAGAAGGCGCAGTTTAAACAGTTTAAACTTTTTAAATATTTAAAGTGTTTAAAGTGTTTAAACTGCGAATAGAAGGCGCAGTTTAAACAGTTTAAACTTTTAAAATATTTAAAGTGTTTAAAGTGTTTAAACTGTTTAAACTGTTTAAACTGCAAATCGTTTCAAAAAGCCGAGTTTCAAGCTTTACATCTTTTCAATTCTGTAGTGCTTTTTCTGGACGATTTGCAGTTTAAACACTTTAAACAGTTTAAACTTTTTAATCTTTTTAAATATTTAAAGTGTTTAAACTGTTTAAACTGCGAATAGAAGGCGCAGTTTAAACAGTTTAAACTTTTTAAATATTTAAAGTGTTTAAAGTGTTTAAACTGCGAATAGAAGGCGCAGTTTAAACAGTTTAAACTTTTTAAATATTTAAAGTGTTTAAAGTGTTTAAACTGTTTAAACTGTTTAAACTGCAAATCGTTTCAAAAAGCCGAGTTTTAAGCTTTACATCTTTTCAATTCTGTAGTGCTTTTTCTGGACGATTTGCAGTTTAAACACTTTAAACAGTTTAAACTTTTTAATCTTTTTAAATATTTAAAGTGTTTAAACTGTTTAAACTGCCAATAGAAGGCGCAGTTTAAACAGTTTAAACTTCTTAAATATTTAAAGTGTTTAAACTGTTTAAACTGCGAATAGAAGGCGCAGTTTAAACAGTTTAAACTTTTAAAATTTTTAAAGTGTTTAAAGTGTTTAAACTGTTTAAACTGTTTAAACTGCAAATCGTTTCAAAAAGCCGAGTTTTAAGCTTTACATCTTTTCAATTCTGTAGTGCTTTTTCTGGACGATTTGCAGTTTAAACACTTTAAACAGTTTAAACTTTTTAATCTTTTTAAATATTTAAAGTGTTTAAACTGTTTAAACTGCGAATAGAAGGCGCAGTTTAAACAGTTTAAACTTTTTAAATATTAAAAGTGTTTAAAGTGTTTAAACTGCGAATAGAGTGTTTAAAGTGTTTAAACTGCGAATAGAAGGCGCAGTTTAAACAGTTTAAACTTTTTAAATATTTAAAGTGTTTAAAGTGTTTAAACTGTTTAAACTGTTTAAACTGCAAATCGTTTCAAAAAGCCGAGTTTTAAGCTTTCCATTTTTTTGAATTCTGTAGTGCTTTTTCTGGACGATTTGCAGTTTAAACACTTTAAACAGTTTAAACTTTTTAATCTTTTTAAATATTTAAAGTGTTTAAACTGTTTAAACTGCCAATAGAAGGCGCAGTTTAAACAGTTTAAACTTTTTAAATATTTAAAGTGTTTAAACTGTTTAAACTGCGAATAGAAGGCGCAGTTTAAACAGTTTAAACTTTTTAAATATTTAAAGTGTTTAGAGTGTTTAAACTGCAAAAGGAAGGCGCAGTTTCAACAGTTTAAACAGTTAAAAAGTGTTTAAATTGCGAATAGTATTCATTTGTTAATTGAAAGGCGGCCACGAACCACACTCACCAGAAAAGGTGAGCCAGCCGCCCTGAGGCGAGCTGGCCGCCCTTAGGCGTGCTAGGCGCGCCGGCCGCCCTCAGGCGAGCCGGCCGCCCTTAGGCGCGCTAGGCGCACCGGCCGCCCTCAGGCGAGCCGGCCGCCCTTAGGCGCGCTAGGCGCACCGGCCCCCCTCAGGCGAGCCGGCCGCCCTTAGGCGCGCTAGGCGCACCGGCCGCCCTCAGGCGAGCCGGCCGCTCTTAGGCGAGCCGGCCGCCCTTAGGCGAGCCGGCCGCCCTCCTGGGACGCAATCTTTTCGGTGTAAAATTGGGTCTCCGCCCAGGTTAAACTCTCGCAATTTTTTTTTCGTGCCCCCGCCGCTTTCAGGCGAGCCGTTATGCTCAAAACCGTTAAAGTTATTTGTATGTGCAGTTCCGGGTCCGGTGTGTGCTGGACCGTGGTTTGCATGCCTGTCCGGGTTCGGCGAAAGCTCCGGACCGTGGTTTATACACATATACATACCCATATCCCTTGTCTACCATTCTATGTATGTGCAGTTCCGGGTCCGGTATGTGCTGGACCGTGGTGTGCATGCTTTTCCGGGTTCGGCGAAAGGTCCGGACCGTGGTTTACACACATATACATACCCATATCCCTTGTCTACCGTTATATGTGTGTGCAGTTCCGGGTCCGGTGTGTTCTGGACCGTGGTGTGCATGCCCTTCCGGGTTCGGCGAAAGCTTCGGACCGTGGTTTATACACATATACATACGCGTATCGCTTGTCCACCATTCATTATATGTATGTGCAGTTCCGGGTCCGGTATATATGCTGGACCGTGGTGTGCAAGCCCTGCCGGGTTCGGCGAAAGCTCCGGACCGTGGTTTATACACATATACATACGTGTATCCTTTGTGTACCGGGTCCGCTGTATGCTGGACCGTGGCGTGCGTAGACTTCCGGGTTCGGTGAAAGCTCCGGACCGTGGTATTATACATATACTTATACCTATGTCTGTGCACATCTATCAATACGATGGTATTATACACTTTCTGGGGAGTATTCTAACTCCAGGATCGGCGCTACACAGACATGTACGCCTGGCCTTCTCAGGACACTGTGGCCTTCAAAATTCATTACAGAACCTGCAGATAGTGACAGATGGGGGCTATTTGCTTACTGCCAAGAAGAACTTATGCTGAGAACCGTTATATGTATGTGCAGTTCCGGGTCCGGTATGTGCTGGACCGTGGTGCGCATGCCCTTCCAGGTTCGGCGAAAACTCCGGACCGTGGTTTATACACATATACATACCCATATCCCTTGTCTACCGTTATATGTGTGTGCAGTTCCGGGTCCGGTATGTGCTGGACCGTGGTATGCATGCACTTCCGGGTTCAGCGACAGCTCCGGACCGTGGTTTATACACATATACCTACCCATATCCCTTGTCTACCGTTATATGTGTGTGCAGTTCCGGGTCCGGTGTGTTCTGGACCGTGGTGTGCATGCCCTTCCGGGTTCGGCGAAAGCTTCGGACCGTGGTTTATACACATATACATACGCGTATCGCTTGTCCACCATTCATTATATGTATGTGCAGTTCCGGGTCCGGTATATATGCTGGACCGTGGTGCGCAAGCCCTGCCGGGTTCGGCGAAAGCTCCGGACCGTGGTTTATACACATATACATACGTGTATCCTTTGTGTACCGGGTCCGCTGTATGCTGGACCGTGGCGTGCGCAGACCTCCGGGCGACAGATAGCGGCAGATGGGGGCCATTTGCTTACTGCCAAGAAGAACTTATGCTGAGAACCGTTATATGTATGTGCAGTTCCGGGTCCGGTATGTGCTGGACCGTGGTGCGCATGCCCTTCCAGGTTCGGCGAAAACTCCGGACCGTGGTTTATACACATATACATACCCATATCCCTTGTCTACCGTTATATGTGTGTGCAGTTCCGGGTCCGGTATGTGCTGGACCGTGG